GTCAGCCACAAACACCAACTCTATTATGAAGGCCTAGATAAAGACATAAGCAGCTTTCTCCGTGTCACTGGTCCCTAGAGTCAGTGATGTTGGCATTTGAGCCTGTGTCCTGGAAGTTAACTTGGATTTGACCCCATCAATCAGTGTTTCTCACTGGCTTCAGAGAAAACTTTCACTAATAAATTAGACAATGTGTTAGCACTGGAACCAGAAATAAGCTCCTTGGGGCTGGGAATGATTAGATGAAATATTCCTCCTTCTCTCTGTCCTTGGCTGAGTCACTCTCCATCTGGAGAACGGCTCTGGGCTCACCTTCTGCAGGTTTGTTCTTGAGCAGGTAAAAGAAGATCAAGATCACAACCGAGAGCAGGGTGAGGAAGACCATGATGAAAACAACTGCAATGAGTGCTGTGCTGGCTTCAGCTTCTGTGGGCAGAGCCTCAGTGGCCTGCAGAATTGGGTTGGTCATCAGCCCTTCTCCTGGAGATGGAGGTTGGTCTTTGCAGCCAGTGGTTGAGGACCTTGAGGGAGGGTCTTTAAAGCATGCATTGAAGGTCTTTTTTTCCAGAGAGGATTTTAATTCACTATTTCATTCCTCATAATGAGCAGCTTGAAGGGAAGGCTTTCGGTCTTTTAAAGGTGGAAAATGGAACTGAGACCCTGCATAAACCTGGAGCCCTCAAAGGGCTCTACTATAGGTAAAATAATGTACTAGAAAAAGATATCTCTGCTAACAAAAGAAACTAAAAGAAAAAGTGCCTAACTCAGCCTGGGCTTTGGGAGGAAAAGAGCCTGCTGGAAATTCTGAACTTGTATACGTATTACATAGCTATATGAGTATTACATACAGGTATATACATATGCACATAATTTATGATAGAAAAATAAACAGAATTACAAAAGTAAATTGTGAAAATTAAAATTGTTGTGGATAACAGTAGGCTATTTTCATACATCATTGTCAATATTCAATAGAAAAAGCAGACAAAAAGACAAGTATATGAAAGAATAGGACAATACAATTAACAAATAATTTAGACAAAAAAATTGACAGGCTTGATCTAAGAGTCCTAATAGAACCCTGTGCCCAACTCAATTGACAGGCTTGATCTAAGAGTCCTAATAGAACCCTGTGCCCAACTCAAAAAACTTATTCTTTTCAAGCATTAAGTAAACGTTTATAAAAATTAGTGATTACCAGGTCACAAAGGTGGTCTCAACAATTTTCCAAAAAATATTACCACATCTATCACATTTTTTTAACACAATACAATTTGGATGAGAACATTTTTAAAAATATAAATATTTCAAAAAAGAACAATAAATAGAACAGTGTAAATATAACATATGACATTTTATAGGATATGGTTAAAGGCTCAAGTAGAACAAAACTAATGTTTTTTAAAAAATTGTGCTAAAAACCAGAAAACTGATGAGATAAATCTTCATTTAAAATGTATTTACAGGGGTCCTTATTACATGAACGCAGGAGGAGTGGAAGCAAAGAAGATGCTTTGACTAAGGAAGCAGAGGTTGGAGTTAGGTAGCTGGGAGCCAAGGAATGCTGGACAGATTTGGAAGAAGCTGGACAGACGAGCTGGAAGAAGCTGCTCATAGACTCCCCTGGAGCCTGCAGAAGGAACCAACTCTGCTGATGTCTTGATTTTAGCCCTTTAAGACTCACTTTGGATTTCTGACTTCCAGAACTGTAAAAGAATAAATTGTGTTGCTTTAAGCTACTAAATTTATAGTAATTTGTTACAGAACTAATAGGAAACGAATACACATAGCACAGGGAAATTAAATTTACAGATGAAAGTTGCTTATCAGCTGACCTTAAAAATTGGAATATTAATGTGATTCACCATATTAACAGACTAAAAATGAAAAATCATATGAAAATTTCAAAAGAAGAAGAAAAGGCATTGCAAAATCCCACATCCATTCCTGATAAAAGGTCTCACTCAGCAAACCAGGAATAAGAGGGAACTTCTTTAACCCAATAGAGGGTTTTTGCAAAAAGCCCACAAGTAACATTTAATGGTGAAAGACTAAATTATTGTCTTCTAAGATCAAAAATAAGATAAAGCTGTCCACTCTGAACACTTCTACTCAAGGGTGAGAAAAGGAAATAAAAGGAATCCTGGTCAGAGAGAAAGAAGAAAAACGGAATTCACAGATGACATGATCACCTACATTAACAAAATCACATGGACTATAAAAGTAAAAAAGTAATAGAACACAAATGTGAATTTAGCAATGTTGCAGGACACAACACCAATATATAAAATCAATTATATCCTTTTGTATATACCAGTAACGAGTAATCAAAAAATGAAGTTACAGAAACAATTCTGTTATCAATGACTCCAAAAATATAAAATATTGAGATAAAGGAAATTCAAAATTAAAACTACAATGAGATACCATTTCATACTTGCTAGCTAAGCAAAATTTAGAAAGTATGGTGATATTAAATATTGTGATGATGTAGAAAAATGTGAACTGCAATATGCTGCAGTAGGAATGGAAGTTGTTTCAATCTGTTTAGAACAATGTGCAAATATCTATTATAATTAAAGATGAACTTACTGGATGACCCAGCAAATAATGGAAATACAAAAAACAAAGAGAAAGAAGAATACCACAGATTGGATTGGTGTAAAGGAGAAACAAGGGCACAGAAAATTCACTTTGGAGAGAAGTAACTATTAGTTTAAGCTAGTTTTTCCACAAAATCTCCGGAGGAAATGCTAGGTTAAGAGTCAAGAAATACAAAGAGCTGGAGAAAAAATACAGGGACATAATCAGAGAAATTAATTAAAGATTCAATTTGACAAAACTGCTACATTGACCTTCCCTCCTTCCTTCATATTTAACATCTGGTGGCAAAGGCTCTTACCTATGAGAACCAATACATAAGCGANCAATACAATTAACAAATAATTTAGACAAAAAAATTGACAGGCTTGATCTAAGAGTCCTAATAGAACCCTGTGCCCAACTCAAAAAACTTATTCTTTTCAAGCATTAAGTAAACGTTTATAAAAATTAGTGATTACCAGGTCACAAAGGTGGTCTCAACAATTTTCCAAAAAATATTACCACATTTATCACATTTTTTAAACACAATACAATTTGGATGAGAACATTTTTAAAAATATAAATATTTCAAAAAAGAACAATAAATAGAACAGTGTAAATATAACATATGACATTTTATAGGATACAGTTAAAGGCTCAAGTAGAACAAAACTAATGTTTTTTAAAAAATTGTGCTAAAAACCAGAAAACTGATGAGATAAATCTTCATTTAAAATAAAACAGAGTAAAAACAAAGAAAATTCAATAAGGAGAATAACAGAGATAAGAATATATAACAATAAAATAGAAAACAAATTTAAAATAGACAGGAAAACAAAGCAATTATAAAAAACCTAATAAAATGGATAAATGAATAAAATAGATAAACTGGCATAATTTGTCAAGAAAAAAGAGATGAGTTCTAAGTAAGTAATATGAGGATTAAGAGGAAAAGAGGGACACAGCTATAGATGGAGTGAAAATTCAAAAGATAAGTGAAAGAATGCTATTTTTAAAGTTCAGTAAATAGCTTTGAAATCCTGTATTAAATGAACAATTTCTCCAACACAAACAAAACATAGCTTACTAAAACTAACACAAAGGAAAAAAGGCAGAACAGACCAACAACATTAAAGAAACAGAATATGAGTTAAAAGTATACCACGACAAATTTATAGGTGAGTTCTGCCGAAATAAAGAAACAGAGAATTCTAATATTACAGAAATTATATATATCTATGTATGTGTGTATGTAATTTATATGTATATATCTCCAGATGAATTCAAGACCTAAATATAGAAAGCAGTATTTTAATCTTTAAAAAAGAAGATGCTATCTATATAAACTCATATTAGCATAGTTTTATTTTAATATAACACAAAAGCACAGAGCAGAAAGAAAAGTTACATTAAAATCAATAAATTTCATAAATAAAAACTAATGTAAATAACGTATAAAGACAGACCACAAATTGGTAGGAGATATTTTCAATTCAACATGATCCATCACAATTACTAAGCAGAATATATGAGAAACTTCTCATCAGTAAAAAAGATAAGTTAACCAATAGAATGTTAATTCACATAAGAGATAACAAAATAGTCAATAAAAATATGAAAAGATACTGTATGCCACAATATTCAGGAAATTCAAAATTAAAACTACAATGAGATACCATTTCATACTTGCTAGCTAAGCAAAATTTAGAAAGTATGGTGATATTAAATATTGTGATGATGTAGAAAAATGTGAACTGCAATATGCTGCAGTAGGAATGGAAGTTGTTTCAATCTGTTTAGAACAATGTGCAAATATCTATTATAATTAAAGATGAACTTACTGGATGACCCAGCAAATAATGGAAATACAAAAAACAAAGAGAAAGAAGAATACCACAGATTGGATTGGTGTAAAGGAGAAACAAGGGCACAGAAAATTCACTTTGGAGAGAAGTAACTATTAGTTTAAGCTAGTTTTTCCACAAAATCTCCGGAGGAAATGCCAGGTTAAGAGTCAACAAATACAAAGAGCTGGAGAAAAAATACAGGGACATAATCAGAGAAATTAATTAAAGATTCAGTTTGACGAAACTGCTACATTGACCTTCCCTCCCTCCTTCATATTTAACATCTGGTGGCAAAGGCTCTTACCTATGAGAACCAATACATAAGCGAAGTGAATAACTTTTCTTGGAAGGGCTCTTAGCATGAGTGTTGACAAAGCAGTGTCTGAGGTAAATCTGTAGGAATATACATACATACACATAGTTTGTTGGGGTTTTTTTTTTGAAACAATTAGTTGCAGTTACAGTCTCCAACAAAATAGAAGTGTCTAAGTTTAACTTGGGAGACTTAAAGAATATATTTCATGTCCAAAGAAGCAAGATACCACACTCAAGATAAAGCAAAAAAAAACAAAACAAACAAACAAAAAAAAAACTGAATATGCATTCTTTCTCTTATTTGTAATTACTAATTACATGCTGTTGAAATGTCTAGGTATATTTGGATTTGGATTCATGACAAATAAACAGAGACATGCATTTGGTCTAATTAAGTATAATCTAGCTTCCAACATTGTTCAGTGTAGCTTTTAAGTACAAATAGGAACAAAAAAGAATCATGAAATATTTGAAAAAGCATGCACTTTGAAAGAGGCATCAGACAGAATAATCAGAAAAATTAGCCCCCTAAAAA